GTTTGTTCAAATCATGACCCTGGGGGATAGGGCGGGTCCACAATGGAGGATCAAAGTTTTACATAGAAATATATAGGAAAAATCTTTAAAAATCTTCTTCTCAGGAACAGTAAAGCCCTGATTGATCATATTTATGTGGAAGTATCCTCAGGTAGTGTAGATTTAAGTTTGTTCAAATCATGACCCCCTGGGGTAGGGCGGGGCCACAATGGAGGATCAATGTCTGAAATAGAAATATATAGGAAGGTATCTTCTGATGAAGAACTGCAAAGCCATGATTAGTCATTTTGATATGGAAGCATCCTCAGGTAGTGTAGATTCAAGTTCGTTAAATTGATGACCCCCGGAGATAGGGATTGGCCACAATGGGGGATCAAAAAATTTTTTTACATAGGAACATATTGGAAAATATCTTCTTCTCAAGAAATGAAAATCATGTTTAGTCATTTTGATATGGAAGCATCCTCAGGTAGTGTAAATTCAATTTTTTTTTCAAATGATAATTACCAGGGGTAGGGTGGGGCCCAATGGGGATCGAAAGTTTTACATAAGAACACATAGAAAAAATATTTCTTCTCAAGAACAGAAAAGCTATGTTTAGTCATATTGATATGGAAGCATCCTCGGGTAGTGTAGATTCAAGTTTGTTCAAATGATGACATCTGGGATAGGGAGGAGCCGCAATGGGGGATCAAAATTTTACAAAGGAATATATGGGAAAAAAATTTTTAAAATCTTCTCAAGTACAACAAAGCCATTTGTTATATTGACATGGAAGCATCATTAGGTAATTTAAAATTCAACTCCCCCCACCCACCCCCAGTAATCTTTTCAATACTGAACTGATTTGTGTCTAGCTAATGTGCTCAGGTGAGCGATGTGGCCCATGGGCCTCTTGTTTAAATTCGCTTCCGGAATTGACCAGAACTTATGACGACACATGAAAAGGTCCCTTCGCCAATCTAGAAATCATATTCTATCATCTCTAACAAAAAAAAAAAAAAACACTCAACATCATTTATAAAGTTGAAAACGTAAATTTAAGCAAACAAATTCGGGATTAAACCCAGATCGCCTTCCTGAAAATTCAATATGGAAGCCACTACACCAGCGCGATTTTACCAGCTATCATCAATGTTCACTTTGTGTCATTGCCTGAAGTAACGAGTGTCAGGGAGGTTAAAAGTTTTTTTATATAGTGCGTAATTATAGAATTAGAACTAGCTAGACAAATTTTGTGCAAGCAGATTCATATCGGAATTTGTTACTTGAGTTTAAACAATAACAAATAATCTATTACTGATGAACTGGTGATACTGTTTACTTCCTTTATTCTTTGTGTATTCAACATTTTATTCCATGCAATTCCATATACCTGTTTTTCATACAAACGTGTCCTTGTAATCTTTTTCTGCACTTCTGCATCAGACCATTTTTCTACTATGGAAGAAGAGTCACGATACATTATTTTGCACCAAAAGTCACGAGTAAATCTTCGCGCCTTTTTTTTGAAATGTATGTTCTATTGAATTGTCTCCATTCTCATATATATTATTGTATGTACCGTACAAATTACTTTATTGCATTTGGAGGTCAGCGTATTTATGTTTTCAAAGACAGATTATCCATTTCATAATCTGCCAGATCCAAAAATTCCTTCCTGTTTCATTAATCCTTATGGTAATTTTGTTCAACAAGACACTCGGCTGTCTCCGTAAACTCCGACCTGCCAATCGGCAATCCTCGACTGACTCCACTATGCTCCATACAAACCTCGGAAGGGATTGGTGGAGAAATATGCATCAAATCGATTACATTTCTCCACCAGAAACTGCCTTGTAACTCATTTCATATTTTACTCTGCACTAAGTTCTTCAAACATTTTTTTCTCTTGTCTAATTCTTCCTTGTATATAGGTTTTGATCACAACATCATGTAAGTAGTCTTTGAAAGCAAAACATAGTGTTGGGTGTGCTTCAAAGTAACTCAGACTTCAAAGGTATGACATTTGGAGGAATTTCAAATAAAATCAGAGGACTGTATCAGCAACATGGTAGAACACCATTGACATCAGAGGTTAGTGTGCGAGGAACGAACTATCCGAGGAGCTCAGAGTGCCAACTTGTTCGTTGGAGTTTACGAAGACAGCCGCCATTTTGGACCCGCTTCAAATTTTAAAATGCAAATATCTAGAGTTTGGATTTATCAATTTTTAAACAAATTATGTATTAAGCCTTTTTGGAAATGCCTCTTTTAACCCTACAAATATCAAAGAAAAAAATTGAAAAACAAAAAAGTTAGAAAATTCGACTTTTTAAATTCGCATCCAGTAACGACCGGAAGTACGACGATGAACGAAAAGTCACGTCTAGGCTAGTATTTATCACGATCTTTAATATCTGAAAGTTTCACATTGATATCTTTTACCGTTTTTGAGATTATCCGCGGACAAAATGTCTTCTTAAATTCAGAAAATGGTCGGTAACTTGGCACCGGAAGTGATTTTCCAAAAAATCTCTCAGATAAAATAATTTCAGATTACAACACATTGTTTCTGCAAATTTCATAAAAATCCATCCAGTAGTCTTTGAGAAATCGCGTGCACAAAATTAGATGGTCAGAAAAATAATTATAAGAAACAGTAGAATCACTATAAGGTCTTCCATGAAGACGGAAGACCTTAAATAATCTTAATCATCAGAATCAGTAGAAGGTCTTTCACTGGAGCGGAAGACCTGAAATATACAATTAACAATAAAATAAACAGACAAACAACATTAATAATATGAAAACATGCATAGAAACATAACTCCTCTTGATAAAGAAGAAAATATAGTTTCTACAACACAAATATCATTCTTAGTAGAAAATTATCACTAACATTCCTACTACAGCAAAAGTAAAAATTAATTGAATTTCATGTTAAATAATTATTCCAAGATCAAATAATTCCTTGTTTTCAGTAATTATCCATACTAATTAAACTTTTATGAGAAATCCTTGTTTTTTTTCTGGTATTTTTTAACAAACCTCTCTGCTGAATATAAACAAAACTATTTGTAATACACAAAGGATGGGGCTATCTTGTCACTCAGAACCTTTTTCATGCATGAGTGAATAAATCAGTCCCTGAGACTGCTAGGTTTACTTTCTATAGCAGCCCCACAGTGGTCCCAAAGCAGTCCCACTTTTTGAGAGAGCAGTCCCTACGGACTGCTTTATGGGACTGATTGGATGTTGGGTTATTCTCACAGTGGTCCCAGAGCATTCCCACTTTTTGAGAGAGCAGTCCCTAGGACTGCTTTCTGGACTGCTTGGGTGTCAGGTTGGGTCTGGATTGTACTGTATACTTAAGTGACCATTAACAACCGTAGGCCTATTGTTTTAGTAAGCATGACATCCATGTTTATTTGCATGAAAATTTTGATTTTTAGCTCACCTGAGCCGAAGGCTCAAGTGAGCTTTTCTGATCACATTTTGTCCGTCGTCCGTCCGTCCGTCTGTCTGTCCGTCTGTCTGTCTGTCTGTCCGTCCGTCTGTAAACTTTTCACATTTTTGACTTCTTCTCAAGAACCACTGGGCCAATTTTGACCAAACTTGGTACAAAGCATCCTTGGGTGAAGGGGAATTTAAATTGTTAAAATGAAGGGCCAAGTCCCCTCACAAGGGGAGATAATCAAGAGAAGACAAAAATAGGGTGGGGTCATTAAAAAATCTTCTTCTCAAGAACCACAGGGCCAGTAAAGCTGAAACTTATATGGAAGCATCCTGGGGTAGTGTAGATTCTAAATTGTTCAAATCATGACCCCCGGGGGTAGGGCGGGGCCACAATGTGGAATCAATGTTTTACATAGAAATATATAGGAAAAATCTTTAAAAATCTTCTTCTCAAGAACCACTGGGCCAGAAAAGCTGAAACTTATGTGGAAGCATCCTGGGGTAGTGTAGATTTTAAATTGTTCAAATCATGACCCCTGGGGGTAGGGCGGGGCCACAAGAGGGAGTCCAAGTTGTACATTGAAATTAATAAGAAAAATCTTTTAAAATTCTTCTTCTCAAGAACCACTTGGCCAGATAAGCTGAAACTTATGTGGAATCATCCTGGGGTAATGTAGATTCTAAATTTTTCAAATCATGACCCCCAGGGATGGGGCGGGGGCCACAATAGGGAATCCAAGTTTTACATTGAAATATATAGGAAAAATCTTTAAAAATCTTCTTCTCAAGAACCACTGAGCCAGAAAAGCTGAATCTTATGTGGAAGCATCCTGGGATAGTGTAGATTCTAAATTGTTCAAATCATGACCCCGGGGGTAGGGCGGGGCCACAATAGGGAAACATTGAAATATATAGGAAAAATCTTTAAAAATCTTCTCAAGAACCACTGGACCAAAAAAACTGAAACTTATGTGGAAGCATCCTGGGGTAGTGTAGATTCTAAATTGTTCAAATCATGACCCCGGGGGTAGGGCGGGGCCACAATAGGTATTACAAGGGGGAAGTCTGGTAATGAACAGCATGGCCAAAGTTACTCAGGTGAGCGATGTGGCCGATGGGCCTCTTGTTTCAAATATGTTTTTTTTTTAATTCTGAAGACATTATTGAAAAAAGATTTTAACTAGATTTTGTGCAAAATCTCTGGTAAAACACCCTCAGCTTTATGAACCTAAAATTTGTTTCTATTTTATTACACTAAGGCTGTCCTCCAGGAAATCACCCTCAAATGTATGATTTTTTAAAAAATATATGTTCGTTTACATTACTGACAAGATATTGAAACTCATTATAACTTTGAAAATCTTCCAGAACTTTATGGCCCCAGAACTTGAATTTCTAGGAAAGAAGCTCTATGAATATGATGTGAAATTATAGAGTCATTGTTTTTTGTCACTTGAGACCAGAGTTCCAGCTCCAGTTGGGGCTAATGTAGTTAAAGCCAGAGAAAATCATGATACTCAGGTGCCCATCAAGGCTCATGGGCCTCTTGTTGTTTATTGCAGAGCATTGTAAAGATTTGCTTCCATGAGCGCCGTCTTCAGTACATGGAGAAGGAACAGATAGATAGTTGGCAGAACACTAGACCAGGGGAGAGAATCCTAGATATTGGTATTGTGGCTCTTACTTTTATATATATACTTATATTATACTTTTATTTTACCTCGCATATAAGCTCGCAGTTTAAAGATCTCTTGTACACTCCTAATAATGTTACTGTTATTTACAGACTGGCCTCTCTACATTATTATTCACTAATTTCAGGGTCCTTTTGTGTAGTTAGACTGATCCACCATTTGATTGATTGATTGTTTGTTGTTTAATGTCCCTCTTGAGAATTTTTCACTCATATGGAGACGCCACCACTTGCCGGTGAAGGGCTACAAATTTTGACCTATACTCGGCACTCAGGGCCATGGAGCAGTGATTGATCTTTTTCATGCCAGCACCTACTGCGACACGGGACCTCGGTTTATATGGTCTCATCCAAAGAACCAGTCTCCATGTCCCGTCCCGCAGATACGAAATAGAAAAAATTGCAATCTGCACTGTATTATATAATTTTATACCCCCCCCCCCCTGCAAAAAAGTTTAGGGAAGTATATTGTAATCAGCATGTCCTTCTGTCTGTCTGTCTGTCTAGCTGTATGTCTGTCTGTCTATAGATGGGATTTTGTCCGGACCTTTCTTGGAGAATATTGTATGATTTTGTCTGAAAATTTGTACACTCATTATTCACCTTATTAAGATGTGCACCTGGTATTTTCATACTGATTGGATATTTTTTCTGCATTTTACAGGGTTTTTTTTTCTTTTTTGTTTTGTGATTTTGTCTAGACAAGGCTGTTCTCGGAGACTATTGCATGGATTTGTCTGAAAATTTCTGCACTCATTATTCACCTTATAAAGATGTGCACCTAAGATTTTTCATCATGATTAGAGAAATTTTCTGCATTTTGCAGGTTTTTTAGGTCACCTGAGTCATGCAGGTGACCTATTGCTATCCGTTTTCTTCCGTTGTGCTATGTGCATCGTGTGTTAACATTTGAATATTTCCAGCTTCTTCTCTGAAACAGCTGAACCAATTACTGCCAATTTTAGTATATGGCATCTATGGGTGAAGGGGAACAAAATTTGTGAATTTCATGGTCCTTGCCCCCCTGAGGCCTGGGGTTGGGGCTAAAACCATCAAAATTAATGCAATCTTTAAAGATCTTCTTTTTTACTCCTGGACATCCAGCAGTCAAATTGTTGGCATGATTGTAATAAGCATTGGGCCCTCTACCAAAATTGTGAAATTCATGGCCCCAGGGTTAAGGGTTCTTGCGCTAGGGTGGGGCTCTAATGATTATGTAGTGAAAATGCATTTATTCTTTGAAAATCTTCTCCTCTGCTCCTGGGTATTTAGCAAATGAACTAAGCACATAGTTATGACAAGGAAGAGTGCCTCTTCCAAAATTTTGAACTTCATGGCCCCTGGGTCAGGGGTTCTGGTGTTAGGTGGGGCTCTAATGGTTATATAGTGAAAATGCATTAATTCTTGAAAATCTACTCCTCTGCTCCTGGGTATTGAGCTGATGAATTAAGTACATAGTTTTAATGAGGAAGAGTGCCTCTTCCAAAATTGTGAATTTCACAGCTCCTGGGTCAGGGGTTTGGGTGGGGCGCTTATTTATTATATACTGAAAATAAATTAGTGCATTGAAAATCTCCTCTGCCCCTTGGTATTAAGCAAACAAACTAAATACATAGTTCTGATAAGAAAGGATGCCTCTTAAAAAATTGTGAATTTAATAGGCCCCAGGGTCAGGGGTTCTTGTGCTATCTATCGATTAATTAGCAAAAATGCATTAATGTTTTGAAAATCTTCTCCTCTGCCCCTGAGTATTAAGCAAACGGACTAAATGCAATAATATAAATATAAATGTTTAAATATAAGTAAATGTGCCTTTTTTCTGCTCCTGGGTATCTAGGAGGCAGAGTACAAAATTGTAATAAGTGAAGCAAACGAGAGTTCCTCCCCTTTGCTAGATGTTGTTAATCAAGAACTCCTTCTATATTATTTTATTAACAGATTATTTGATTGAATGAGAATACAAGAAAGAATGTTATATATAGAGAAACAAAATAAAAAAGAATTACATTTTTTTAAACTATTTGTCAATGTCCTTGGCAAGCTCATCAAAGATTACAGTTCTTATTACTTGCACAGAAAAGTGCAATAAAAAGTGATGTATTTATCTAATTTATGTCATCTACGGAAGAGAAAAGATGTAATTTATTTATGTATTTAATATACTTCTATAAAAGAGGAATTTAGGGAGCCGACTGGGGTTTTATTGTGTGAAAACTACTATAGAGAAACTCTTTACTTTATTCCATATGTACCTTACATTAACTACAGTATGTATGCCAAGTTTAGTGAAAATCTACCGTCTGGTTATTTTTTAGGGACCATCTCAAAATACAGTACATTTACTATAAGATTATATAGGAAAATACCATTTTTTCGCACTTTGGAGCAAATTATACAAATGCTACTATAGACTTTTTGCTCAAATTATATTATTTGATGGGTAATACTATATAATATGTACATTTTATGCAAGAAACACAAAATTCTACTGTCTGGTTTCCAAAGGGGGCATCTAAAAATGTCAAAATTCATGATATTTTCCTGTTTTTATGGGGTACAACAAAACATGACCGATACTACAGATTTACGTGAAAAATAATGAAAATGATTGTGAGATTCTCAGTTTCTTATGTTTAAAATTTCAAGAGCATCTATTTGATATTTTTTATTTTATGACATAATTAATGACCCAGCTTAAAGAACTTCGGTTATTCATAACGTCAAAAACGCACTATTATGACGTCCATCTACCCATCGTTTGAAAAAATATTTTAAAAATCAGTTATTTAAAAATGTAACTAGATTTTTTTATGTGAGATTTCCTGAATTTGTTAATTTTTATAAATTGTGTAAAAATAGTTGCTTTAAAAGAGTAAATACGCTTTATTTTACTATGCTGCGCAAGGTATTGTGCAATGAAAACCCCAGTCGGCCCCCTTAAGGTTAATTTTTACTTCACTGCATCACTATTTAACTCTTTCCCCCTCACAAGCGCCTCTCGACGCCTAGCCAGGATTTCCGCACAAGCGTCTCTCGACGCCCATCCATGATTACCGCACTAGCGTCTCTCGACGCCTATACAGAATTTCCGCACAAGCGCCTTTCGACGTCTTGTTATTTTAAGACTATGTGAAAAGGAGACTATGACGTCGGCAACTTTGGGGCAGGTATCAAATTGAAGCGTTATTATTGGCCTACAAAAATAAAGTATGTGCACTGTCATCAATTCACGTGTACCTATAAATAAAGATGGTTTTTACCTTGTATGGTAAGGAAAAACAAAAGTTGTTAATTCAAAATGGCGGATTACGAACAATGTACGTTGAGATTATTTCTATTCACGCGACGATTTAGATAAACTTTATTGGTTTTAGGATGCTGAATCGAATACATATATTCATAAAGAATTCATTTGTGCAGAAAAAAATTAATTTGGAACATTATAATTGGCCAGAAAACCTTCGACATTTCATGGCGTCAAGTTAAAAGTCACATGGCCAGTATTCTGGAGCCGATTTTTGTGTAAAAACAACTACAACAAAAGATTTCTTAGGTGATATGTTTTATCCAAACATTATTATAGACTATGTGCATCACAAAAATAAAAGTGCACAGCGAATAAATGCACAGAAGAGAAAGGAAGACCGTGTCTGGTACAAAATCACTGAAGCAGAAAAGAAGGCTTACTTGGCCAAAAAAAGAAATTAAAAAGATTATCCGTTTGTGTAAACTTCGCAGTGTGCATCTATGCAAAATGTGGATCTTTTCACATACCAAAATAGACATTGAAACCTTTTTATTGACTGTAAAATGATTAAATTCTAAATATTTTGTCATGAAAATGTGTGTATATACACTGACTCATGACATTTACCAAACTTTTTCTTAGTTTAAAAATAAAGGATTGGCTTTAAATTATCATCATTGTAAAGATGAGATTGTGCTGAAAATAAAAATACTTGGTTTTATATACTTTTACCCAATAATTTGAGAGTAATAAGAATAAATATAAAGCACTGTGATTTTTTTCTTTATTTCTGAAAATGCCTGAGTAAATGGGGTTATCACTGATGCTAGACTGCTGTGGAGATAAGGCTGCAGCAGTGGCTTGCTACGGGAGTATACAGTAACGCCTTATCTTCAAAGCTCTGAGGGGGAAAGAGTTAAAACAAGACAATGCTCCTTGTTTAATTTCTCTTGCATGCGCCTCATGATGAAACTGCTGGACATTGAATTAAAAAAAAAATCTATAATTTTCAAAATCTTGTTTGTTTGTCCTCTCTCGACCAAATAGCTTAAAATGGCCGGACTAAAATCTTTCTAAAACCTCCAAGACATTTTTTTCATTATTCTGGTATTTGCTCATCCCATCAACAACTACTTTTATTTCAGAAATGCGTTTAATTTTAATAGATTTTGAAAACTCCACATTGATGTTGAAAATTTCTGACAAAAAATTTTCAAACTACCTACTGACGCAATTTCTTTTAACCTGAATAAGGAGAGGGCAAACAAACAATATTTTAAATATGGTCTTTAGTTACAGGAAATTTTTAACCACCACTAGACTTCTTTAAAAAAATATACACTTAATCGTGAAAAGGAAAGATCATGCAGACACTTGACGGAGACTAACTTCTTAAAGAATGCAGTATATCAATCCACACCCAAGAATCTTCCTTAGCATATAAATAAAACAACATCCCCTTGTTCTGCTGGGGAGAATTACTCTTGAGGAGGCGTTTTTACGTTGCTTTTACCTTGTTGACTTTAGACGTCGTAATAAAGCTAAGGGAATATATAATATAATATAATAGATCATAGTGTTTGCCTCAAACTGGTAGTTTGTTTTTTTGACAGGCAAATCAAGGTCTACTGTTAAAAGAGTGGAATTAATGATTTTTAACATTTCCATAAATCTTGACGTATAGACCTGAAAGCATCATTATGAATTTTCTCCTCTCCTCTCCAGGGT